ACGTTCTGCGATGCGCAGCCACGTGTACATATTAGGGTATACAAAAAATAGTGGGTGTAGAACACAAAAAAAGAACTACTGAAACAAATTCATCAAGGCTTTATTTCATTAAGTAAAAACTTGATGAAATTGTGCCTGCATTGTACTTTTGTTCTACAGGTACCACTTTTTGTATACTTTAATATCAGAGCTAGAATCGACTCAGATTTTTCGAAATTTAAACCGAACGAAAACTGACGTTGATTTGGGGAACTGAATTGAATCAATCTCTGTTTAATATGTATAGATGGGTACACATTAGAGAAGATAAGAAAAAGACAAAATAACAAAGAGAATACACAATACAGACGAAATTTGATGTAATATTACTATCTTACATCATGAGAAACAGCTCTTACTGAGATTTTAAGATTAGGATATTAGTTGAAGAATGATTAAATATCCCAGAAATGTAAAGTATTGCTTTTATTATCAGATCATATTGAAAGAAAGTTTCTTTAAGGTTTTTATAAGAAATTAAAGTACTTTCGTCACTACTTTTGATATGGCCTAAGTACAATTTTATATGAAAAGAAAAAATGCATTTTGACTTTAAAATAAGCTCACCATTCAATTATGAATGAAGAACCAAAAAATTATTCGCATCATTTACTCCAGTTCTGTCTTAGTATCACACATGATTGCTGTAACTCATTATCATTACTTCAAAACACTCTTGCCTTTTTAGCAAGTACTTTTTGATATACCTTGAACATTAGATATATATATATATATGATGTGCACACAATTTCTTTTATGTTTTGCTATTATTTGATCCTGTGTAACACCAAATAATTGCGTATCCATAATGTACCATTGTAGTATTGTGGCGTCGGGTCAACATCGTTTAGGGTCTTTCTTTTTTTCAATTTCAACCATACGTGTACAATCAATATCAAGTTTTAATAGATTATCTTCTAGATATACATGCTCTTGGTGTGAATAGATCATGAATGATGTCATTAATTGTATCAAAATACATTGATAGCTTATGTAAACTAAGAACGTCTTTATATAACCATTAGTTATATATTCAGATGAAACAGAACTTGATATTTAAAAAGAAACTTCGTGTAATGATTTCATTAGAATCTTCTCCATTACGCATATAGAATAGGGTTATATCAGATAACTAGTCTAATTGTTTCAAAACTCGATCAAGTAATTAATTAATACTATCAGATTCATCAACTTCATGAAAATAACATATAAATGCATCTTTAAAACTGTTATATGTATTTTGTACAATCGTTAAACTGATCATCGATCAACATTATTAATTAAATTTTCAGCAAGATTTCATGTTGGAACCCACGGCAGTTGTTCCTGTGACATTTTCTTTCCTATGACTCTTTGTGAGAAGCACGAGCAATCAAAAATTAATTAGAAATTAGATAGATACATCTCGTTCTCATCGCTACAGTACCCTTCGTCCTTATTCTTACCGTCAATCTACACAATATTACGAGAGTTAATGTCATGAGAGTAATTGTCATACTATCCTGATGTTGATACTAAATCGTTAATATCCTGTTAATATTCCATACCCATTAAATTCCAATCAAAGTCGTCTGCTAAACATACAGAGTAATATAGATTTTCGATTGTCAAAGAATTTATTATTCACTTAAATTATTGAAATCATTTTGCTCTTTAGTATTTGTAAATGTTATTCTTTTGTATTTTAATCATGCATATATAACGCGAACTTTTTTATTATTTATTTTTTGCATTTAGAGAAAAAAGTGTATTAAATGACTAAGATGTTATTTAAATATATCTAATTAATGTAATAATTCGTTTGATAAAACATTATAATCCATTTCTATGTAATTCTAGAAGAAACAGAAATATTTTATGAACTACTTAGTTACAATGAGAATTTCATATTTCATCAAATATAATCATCATTTCTTCATTATTTAATAAATTTTTCATGATTTTCTTTCGAATTTGTTCTATATCTTCTGATACCTTTTTGCATTGTGTTCATAGTGATGCATGCGATAGACGATGTTTAATTCTATCACTTTCAAGCTGCACTGATAGCTTATTGATAAAATTTCAAAGGATTATAATGAAAGATATTAAATATCAGTTTATTTTAATGAATCATTTCAACTGAGCATAGCAACAAGATTAGATCATTTGTTTAATCTGATTCACTATAGTTAATATTAGTTGTTTTTTTATATATTTTTATATCAACTAATACCTGATAAGAATATTGTCAAATAACTTTAGCAATGATCAATGAATCATTATTTAAAGGTAAATTTACAAATATTTGCATACTGATTTGTTATTCAATAAGAAACGGATTATTTTTTTTTTGTTGTTGTTGAATCAAATTTATGTGAAGATTTTATAATCAAATGATGAAAGTGCTGTGCTAAGAACGTGTTCAAGTTTATTTTGTGTTTTCCATCATGTTTGATTAGCTAGAAAATGATAATCACTATTTGTAACTAAATAAATTGGCATATTAAAATTGAAAAACAACCGATTAAAAAATTATTTCTGCATTAAAATTATAAAAATAATCCTTATTTTTCACTTTTTGTCCTTTTTTTTAATGATATATAGCTCTACTCGCTTCTGAGAATCTATGCGAATGGGTAATAATCAATTTTTGGGTCTTTCTAAAAAATATTTTCTTTCTTGTTAAATGCTGAGTGTGCAAAAAGTCCGTCATAAAAGAGAACTTGAATAGCTTTTAAATAATTCAACTGATATCTGTAGACTTTCTACAGTTTTATTCCATATTTTTTGAAAAGTTTTATCTCGCATAATATCATTTGCGGTCAATATTTAAAATGAACACTTTGAACTGAAATGCACAATTCACTGTTTATAAATATTGGAAAAAAATTATATTATTAAACAAAGCTTGCAAGTAATCGGAACACAATTGATGTTGACACACTTTAACTATCAGTATAAATATCAATGACTGTTTTTGTGTTACTACTTTAAAACGTTATGAATTTGTCCGATCGTCTACAATATTACATTGATAAAAGCGTTCAGAGAACTGTTTAATACCATCTGTATTTCACGTCTTGTTGTCAAATGTGACTGACAGGTTTTTGTTTCATGATTGTAGATTACTTAGGTTTAGTCTCTAATAGAACAATTTGTATTCCAATGTTCATAGATATAGTCATTTTATCTGAAATATGCTGAATAAAATTTGATAAGTATGCAATTAAATAATGAAAGACAAATGTAAATCAATTGAACTGTTGATATTTTATTCATGTTTTATTTTCAGTCAAATTTTCTGAACATCTTTTATCTATTTTAGAATTTGCTTAATCGCATTCTTTACTAAGCCAAAATATGATTCATCTTGTACATATTAAGTCGATTTCTTCTGACATTGTTTTATTTCTAGTGTTATAAGTAATAAAACACATAACCAGGGTTGTCAATTGGTGGAAGGGGAGGGGAGGGGGTGAGGACTCCTTCCTCCAAAGGTCCATTTTTCTGCTCATTTTTTACAGCGTTGTGCTAGCTTTGGACGGAAACCAAATTCTTCAATATAATTTGCTTTTCTCTTGTTGAAAATGAAATAAAAATAAGCAGATAATGTCGCTGCGAGGTAAATAGGATTGAAGCAGGTCCTGGTGAACGGACCGAGTCATAGTGAATTTCGTTCTTCTCTCTCCCATCCTTAGAAAATATTGACAACTCTGCAAAAAGCCCTTAAAATAATTACAGGAATTTGGTGGTGTGGCAGTGAGATGCGCACTTCCACCTTCAGAAAATATCGGTTTCTCCTAAAAAAAATCAATTTTTTTATTGATTGCAAAGGTCGAATGAGAAAAACGTACACCATTCCTCTTCTTTTATCTTCGTCGCATCTCTGGATAATTACAACAAATATCTTTTCATTTTGCACATTTTCACTCAATCGTATGAATATTTGGATTCCTAGAAGTTGAACTATGTGTGTGCCTTTTTCAAATGAATCTCTCTCTCTCTCTCTCTCTTGAATAACAGCTTGTAGATTAAGTAATAAAGATATATGTTTAATTTTTTTTGCAATCAATAAAATCTGTTCATTCAGTTTCGATCATTGTCTTTCTAGATATAATGCGAATAAATGTCTGAAATATCAAATTCTTATTTAGATGATATCTTAATTACAAAGAAAAAAAAATATCAACAATTGAACTGTGTTTATTGTTTTGACAAACAAATTGTATCGTTTAAAAATTAGGAAAAAAGTGTATGCTGCAGTAAAATTCACAGTGTAACTTATATTCTCTTATAATGACGAGCGTTTTAAAACGTTGTATAGAAAGTACTTAGAACGTAATTGCCGCAAAGCTTTTGACATAAAAATAAACAGTGGAGAACGAGCAAAACAACAACAATCAAGTTAATCGAGTAAAAAGCATACATTTACAACGATAAACAGATTAATACAAATGATAACACAAATTTTTGTTAGATCATTCCATAATATTAAAAAGCCTATCTTAAATGTGCAAACATATGTATTTGATACCAAATATATTAGTAACGAAATTTTTTCTCCTTCCACTATCTCTTCTTCTTAGAACCATAAAATTATTGTAATCATTTCAAGATAAGATTTTAATAGTTTACTTTTAAGTAGCAAGCAATACACGTGTACATCGAGCAAAATAATTCTATCCTTCAAATTTAACAATCATAAATGATAAATTAGTCATAATTAGTACGATACATTTATGATCATATTAGTTTTAGTTTTTCGAGCGTCATCTGTTCGAAAAAAGAATGAATGTCTTTCAAGATGTCTCTCTTTGTCAAATAAAAATATCCAATCATTTGAGTTAAACAATTAATTGTATTGTATTGCGTTTGTTTTGGCTCTAGAATTATTATTCGAAGAGAATTTAATCTTTATTCATAATTAAAAAGCTGAAAATGAAGAAATAATTTCTTTCAAATAATTTAAAATACATCTAATGGCATCGAATGATACTACTAATATTAAAGATATTTCATCTCATCAATGTATGTTTAAAAATCTCAAGTTTTAGTTATCTTTAAAAAAAACATATTTAGCTTGTTCATCTACAAGTTCATTTTCTCAAAATCCAATATCATTATCATCATCAAATAGTCCTATTAATATAGGAAATCTCAGTAGTAGCTTATCTCGTGGTCGTCAATTATGGAATACGGCTGTTGAAAATGTTCTTGAACATGAAGAAACTCCACCATCATCATCATCAATAGTTTCATCAACTATTGGTAATGATGCAATTGGTTGGTACAATTTAACTAAACGGTAAATTCTTTTAGATAATTTTTATCACGTTATTTGATGCATCGTTGTTTATCATCATACGCTCAATTTATCGTTTTTCTAAATATCATAATAGAAAATGTTTTGTGTCAGAAATTCAAGAACATATAGTTACCTTCATTTTAAAAGTTTGCATTTGATTGAAGGTCGTTTTCTTTTGAAACTATAATAGAAGTTCAGATCAATTGTCAATATAAGATTCGATCGACTCTTTAATGGCATTATATGATACATACATATACACACATGCATATTTTATATATATATACTCGAAATCCGAAGGGAAATCGTTCTGCATAATGATTGTAATCTATTAGAAAAAATAAACGAACAAAGAGGAAAAAAGACCGATATAATGATGTTGATAGTCAACGGCAAACAAGGCCAAGGAAAAAAAGAAGAGAAAAAAATCGCATGTAAGTAACAAGTTTGCTTGCATATTTACACGCATGGAGTGCAGAATAGAACAAAAATAAGAGTTTTTTCGCTTACATTTATAAACGTGCATACAAGTTAGTTTAAAATAGTTCATTTTATTGCTCTCATATATTTGATTAATGTGATGATAGAATAATATTCAAGTAATAATGATATGTCATCATCATTGTCGTCTTCAACGGATTATCATTTATTAACTTTTGATTTCGATGAGAATCAAATTATGGAACAACATTATGAAAAACAAAAAAAGGATTATTCATATTTTTCATCATCTGCTCCTGCAAGTATTAATAGCAATGATTTCATGAGCGAGTCGAAAAGGTAAAAGTTCTATGTATTATTTACAAGTGATATTTTAGAAATAACAGTAATGAAAGGTTTCTTTTGTTTTTGAAACTTTTGTTTAATTATGGAAGTTAATTGTACATTAGAACGTCGTATGTATGTCTCGTTTGAAATCTAAGAGTAATCAAGGAAACATATCAAACTAGCACTATCATTAGAATTGACAGGGCTTCTCTTCTAAGATCACGAGTGCTTGGTTGGCTTTATTTGGTATACACTATTATTTGTTTTATCTAAATGTAAAAAACAACAAGCATCAAGGATGATAAGCATGATTTGATATATAATTTTAATGAAAATATTTCCATTTATTTTCTGTTTCGGATGAGAAAAAAGATCCAGATTATCTATCGAATCTCTACTCGTATACACTGATGTGTCACCTTTAAAAAAAAATGTTAACGAGAAACTCGACTTGAGCTTTTTTTTTTCTCATTTCCTAGAAGTAAAAAAAAGTCATTTAGCTATTTCTAGAAAATAGATGATGGAAAAGAGTTCTAATTTATTTTATTATGAGAAAAGATCCGTTGTATTCTTCGCAGCTGGAAATAACTGAATTTGAGAGAAGAAAAAGTTCTTTCTATATACTTCTCCGAAGGTCTAAGTATTCATAAAGAAAAAAATATATTCTGCGAGATGTTTTTCCTACTAATAGCGGTCGAATACTACAATAAAAATTCTAAAAAGACTTCTTTTATATTTTATTTACTATGATATATAACAAAACATATTCTTACGATGAGTTATTTTATTTTTTGATAAAGTTCTACGTTTACGTAACTATTCCGATTGATTTTATTTCTTTGTTTTTCTTAAACTCGAACTTTTACTTACATAAGAACATAAAGCAAACAAATATTATAGGAATGTGTAATTTGTACATGTCATAAAATAATAGAAGTATATTATTAATCCAGAGTCTTTTTCTTCGTGTAAAAATATTTTTTTCTCTTTTTTGCTATCATCAATTGTCTATCTACATTTTCTTTCTATCGTTATTAAATAACTGGGCTTGATATTCTTTGTAACTTTTTCGTAATTAACACTTTATACAGAGGTAAACGTGTGTATTCAAGCAAAACAAAATGGCTGAAAACGATACCCATGAGCAACAACAAGAAACTAGTCTAACGTCAATAACAAGACATAAACGACGACATTTTTCGCAAGCACCAATATCTTCAAATGATTTAATTCCTAAGCAATTATCTGGAGATCATATACCAATCGGTGCTGTAAGAAAGAGACGGACTTTATCTGAACAAGTCAATCAATATGATCGGTAGATACATAAAAAATGAATGCGTTAGAACATATTAATTAATTAGCTTTTCCTTTTGTTTTTTTGCATCAATTGAGTTGTTTTTAAATATTTGTACGTATTTTTTGTTTATTTTAGTGTAATGCAAGCTAATGCTAGTCCAACATTAGCTGCTGCTGCCAGTCCAGCATTACATAAAGATCATTGGCAGCAAAGGCGTTATACTTTTTTAAGTAAAAATAGCATGTTTGGTGGAGAATTAAAAGACGAAGTTGTTAATGAACATGGTACCGATGTTGAACAAAAGTAAAATGAAAAAAGAACTTTTAATTAAATAATCTTTAAAATTTAATCTATTTGTTTGAAGACCTATTATTGATATACCTCAAATTACAACATCAATGAGTATGGAATCCGATGGATCAAGTATAAAGCGTGAAACAATTTTGAGTCGAGCTGTAACTGGTGTTCGTAATTTACTTGTTGTAAGTTGAAAAACAAAGATTTATTTTATCTATTTTTGATAATCAATCCTTATTTAAAGGTAAACGAGATGCCACGCGCAAAGTCCATGCGAGCATCTACATTATACAATGAGGTTAATAATATTTGTGTGTGTGTGTGTGTTTGCTTTTCTCTAAATTAAAAATGTCTTTTTTTTTTCTGCTCGTTTTTATTTAAATTGTTAAAGAAAATAAAAATCTATTAATTTTAATTATAGGAAGATGATGAAGATGAACAATCAAATGGAACTAATCTATGTTTAAAAAATATTGTTTTGACAAAACCAGATACAAATGAACGAATTGAATTTGATGAGAATGATAGTGGTACTCCACGTCCTTGGTAAAGAAAAGATAGATGAGGAAAAAAAAACGACAAAAAAAACATTAAATTTCTTTTTTTTTAATGATTAGTAATCAATGTACACAAACGGATAATGATCTTTCTTCAACTCCAAGAAAGAACGTTACATCACATAGTAAGTAATTTTTTTTCCATTATTGAACGAAACTTTTTTCTGTTGTTTTTTTACATCTGTAGTTAAAGATCAACCATTGAAAAACGTATTCTTTCAACTTTCCTGTAAACATCATCAATCAAAAAGATTAGCTGAAATTCAACAATCATATCGTCCTTATTTTACATATTGGGTAACATTTGTACAAATTCTTGTTTGTATTGTTTCATTAATTGTATATGGTTATGCTCCATTAACATCAATACAATCTGTAAATATTCATTTGTTTTATATATTTTTTAAGAAGAAAAAGTGAAACAAAAAAACAAATCTTTTTTTTTTTTTCGTATTTCTTTTAGAATAATACTTCAATTTTTAGTCAACAACAATATGATTTAACAATGAATATATGGTTTGGTCCATATCCAGCTGATTTAATTCGTTTAGGTGCAAAATATACTCCATGTATGCGTCGACATGATGAAGTTAATAATCGATATGAAAAACAAGCAAGATTAGAAACAATGTCTGGTTGTTGTATAGATTCAACAACAGGTCGTTGTATGCAAACACTTTCACAACAATGTCTAGTATGCATGATTTTATTTATAAAAGATAAGAAAGAAAAAGAAATTTTATTGTTTCTTTAGCCACGAGCTGGTTTAACATGGTATCGAACGTCATTGAAAAGTGAAAATTTAACGGAAAAAAACAATGTTATCTATCCAGCTGTATGTGGGCTTACACCAGAGTAATTAAACTATGCAAGATGTTTTATTTCCTTAATGTTAATTTCTTTAGAACTTGCACGAAAAAGTTAGTTGGAAATGTACGACGAGAAGATGAAAGTTCATGGACATTGACAGTGGTTGATTCTAAAGTCTTTAAATGGTCACCAAATGCTGTTAAATGGCCAGTATGTTCTATATGAATTCATAATAGATGCTTTCCGAATATTTAATTCCCGTGATAATGGGCATTTGTAAGAATTTCGAATAATCAAAAATTGATTAATAGCAGATTCAAATTAGATATAAATATAATCTTAACTTTCATCATATCCTCGCTTCTATTTTTTTCTACGTCGGAAAAGCAAGATTTCTTTTTTTTTAGTGTTCTAATTCTAGTTGAAGTTCTACAGAAGTAAATATAGAAACTGATCAAATTGTTAAATTATTTAATTAATTTTGAGCTGTTGCATAGATTTGTGAGTAAGAATTAAAGAAGATTTCTCACATTTATCAAACAGATAGATGTCAATAATTTTTTTTTGTCTTGAAAATTTAAATATTTGAATGAATCTGCTTAGTACTTATCTCTTTTACGATAAAATATAATTTTTAGCAATTAATATCTTTGCTTTGACAACTTATTTTTCAGAACCTATACTATATTTGTATAAAAATTGCTTTTGTCACCATTTGAATGAAATTATCTTAAAAGAAAAATTTTCAAAAAAAAAAAAAAACAAATCATGGATTCATAGATATTATTGTATAAAAGATTTATTTTTTATTAAACTAGAAATGAGAAAGAAAAAAATTGACAGCTGATCGGAATGTAACTTTGACAATTGATTATGCTGCATCTTGTGAAAGCTATAAAACGTTTTTATTCATTCTATGATAAACTTTCATCAATTATTCTTCAATATATGCAGGCTTATTATATTTAAATTTTGAAAAATTAAGACTATATCAGGAAAGAATTTGTATTTGAAACGAAAGAAGCAATTGAGTGAGTTTTATCTGAAAAATATTTTAAAGTTTTGTTGACATAAGCGATTTTGTCTTTTACATTTTAATCTCATGATCAATAATTTAATATAAAGGATGAGCCAGAAACCTTAAGTCGTTTCACACAGTAAATATTATCATAGAATTGTCCTTATAGAGAAAAAGTAGAGTAAAACGTGCTCTTCAATAATGACTATAAATTGATCCCTCTAGGTCATTTAGTAAGAGAATTATTAGTCTAGAAATTGCCTATCATATCAAAAAGCAAATTAACCATTAATACTCTAATCATTAAATATGAAATGATAAGCTAATTGTCACTCAAGCAATTCGCATGTCGAAACCGCTTAAGTATTGTTTTATCATGAATCAAATGCTTAATATTCAATTTATTTTCTTTCTTAATAATTCTCGATACAAAAGAGAAGAATTTTCATAAAAATGTAATTCATCGGTAATGTTAATTATTTCCTAGCCATAATATTTTTCCTTTCAAAGAGAGAATTATTGCACGACAACGGTTGTATCTAGTTATTATGTTAGAGACTCTAGGCATCATAGAATAACTCAAAAGAGATTTCGAAATGTGAATTGAGTGCTTGACTAACAGTTAGTTTATCATTTCATTTTTAATGATTAAAATATGAATGGTAAATTTGGTGTTAAATATGATAGATATTTCTAGGCTAAAGATTTTCTTACTAAATCATCAGCTAGATGAATCAAATTATAGTCGTTTTGAAGAGCGTGTTTTACTGTATACGTTATCTATCTATTAAAAACAGTTGTGAGAGAAGATTTATTCGTATGAAAATATCTATTAACCAAAACGAATAAGGACTTATGGTTCACCTTTTTATATTATCTAAGTTATTTTTATTTTAGCATTATCACAAGTCATGTTTTACACAATAGAAAAATCGGGAAAATGTTATTTTCGTTATACCGGCTGTAGACGCTTGTAGTACGTTACTGTGAGAATGTTTTTTTTTTAGCATGAAAAGCTATAGTACTTCTAACAATGTATAATCGATTAAGTTCCGATGTTGCCATATTCAATGTGATATCCATTGTTTTCGTTGAAAGAAAAACAATTACGAACAAACAGGTTTTATCAGTTAAATCGACAGTGATAAATCTTATATTGATTAGCTTCAACTGCTTTTTACAAATTCTTGGTGNGTCGTTTTGAAGAGCGTGTTTTACTGTATACGTTATCTATCTATAAAAAACAGTTGTGAGAGAAGATTTATTCGTATGAAAATATCTATTAACCAAAACGAATAAGGACTTATGGTTCACCTTTTTATATTATCTAAGTTATTTTTATTTTAGCACTATCACAAGTCATGTTTTACACCATAGAAAAATCAGGAAAATATTATTTTCGTTATACCGGTTGTAGACGCTTGTAGTACGTTACTGTGAGAATGTGTTTTTTTTTAGCATGAAAAGCTATAGTACTTTTAACAATGTATAATCGATTAAGTTCCGATGTTGCCATATTTAATGTGATATCCATTGTTTTCGTTGAAAGAAAAACAATTACGAACAAACAGGTTTTATCGGTTAAATCGACAGTGATAAATCTTATATTGATTAGCTTCAACTGATTTTACAAATTCTTGGTGTCTTTTTGTGTTTTGTACATGATCACTAATATCATCGATTCCATTGTTTACAATGGAGAACTGAATACTGTAAACAACATACAGTGCTTTTGTTGAATTGTTTTTGCATCCTTATAAAAATATAGAAAAGATATGATTTGATAATCTGTTTGTTAGAAAATATTCATGCACATCGTTTATTGATTGTTCATGATAGTTAAGAAACTTTTCTTAGGATAGAAATAAAGTCATATACTAGAATGATGCAGATTGTAACACAAATTTATTTTTTAATAAGTTAGATGCCTTATTAGTGCTATTCTCTTGTGACAAAAGCAATAAACACATACCATGTGTAAGGTTTTTATTATCTCAAGTTAAGTGATTATTTTTCTTTGAACTTTCTCATTAGTTCAGAGTACGAATAACACTCCCAATAGAAAAGAAAGCTAAAAATAAACTTATAGAAATCAAGTAGGTTTTCTACAAGAAGAAAATTCGAAGATTTCGTAAGTCAGCATATATAATTTAACGTTGATTCTAGTACCAGAATATAATTATATTGCAGACCAGTTTATCGAGCTTCATCGAATGGTATATAAACTTAAAGATCTTGGAAAATATTTTCCATAATATTATTTCCATAGATAAGCAATCTTGTATAGCAGTTGAATATGGTACAAAAAACTGTGTCTTTATCATGAAAACGTAATTAATATGGTTATTTGATGCAACATTTCTGATTGAGATACAGAAACTTTTGAATAAGACACCTACAGATAGATGTGGCAGATATAAAAGTGACAGTTGTGTTTATCATTATATCCGCATACAATAAGTAAATTGCCTGTTGTGTTTCTTTCAGTTATTTAAGCCGATTACAGGATGTGTTTACAATAAATCCCTTCCTGTGATAGAAGGTTACTCTTGAAAGGAATAGTACATTAGACGTCATAGAAGACTTGCCTTAATGGATTGAGTTTTCACAAAGTTGAAACTTTAATTAGTATATTGACATCAGAATATATCTAGAGGTCAGGATTTTGAGCTTAAAATCTTAAAGTTTCTGTTGAAAATTCTTTTCAATTAAAAATTAGAAAAACTAACGGAACACAGTAGAAGACTCAAGATCTTCTATTGAGTGAAACGATTTAAGCATTTTCATAAATTAATTAAACTTCAATGAGTTTTCTAGAATTCTAAATTTGTTTTTTTTCTCCCTTTGAGAATTAATTTTAATTATTTATTGATAATATGTTCTATTTTTAGATTTGCCTTGAACAAGATTATAATCGAATATCAAATAATATATCTTTATATCCACATATGCAATGTACAAATATAGGTATATTTAAAAATCAATATCATGTTGAAATGATTATTAGTATTTATGTGAAACACGATCTAAAGGCAGTGTTGAAGCATTGAACTAAAAATTTGAACCTACTTCTTCCGTAGCTCATAGACCATGACAGGTATAAACATGTGAATGTCCGTTATAATATATGAACTACTTCCTGATTGCATTTCTAAAAGATAAAGTAAAAGAATGATGAAGACATGTCTTAAAATAACTAGAATAAAACAATCTTCTTATGATTATTAACGACAGCTACATTGTGTTTCACACTTTGCTTCCGCAGGGATTGTGCTAACAGTTTTCTTTTTCTAGCAAGACCTTGTTGTACAGGTGTACTTGGGGATTGCATTTTAACATCAAGAGATGATTGTCGACGTCGACGTGGTATTTTTCATCCACGAGCTCATTTATGTTCTCAAGTGAGATCATGATTTTATTGAATAGAAAAACAAAATGAACTCATGTTTAATTTAGGTTGATTGCATACAAAGTGTATGTGGGATGCTAGAATTTTTCGTTGGTAATGAATAAAAATTAGATTTATTATTCTTCATCTTATACATCTTTTTCTTTTTATATATTTTAGTTCGTGTACCTGATCAAGTTTATCGTTTTTGGACTGTGATTTTTATTCATGCTGGGTAAAAAAGAAAATATTTTGTTTTGATCTGAAAAATAAATCTATTTCTTTAGTTTAATTCATTTGTTAATAACAATTATATTTCAATATACAATAATGCGTCCATTAGAAAAACTAGCCGGTTGTATACGAGTAATGATTATATATATTGTATCCGGTTTTGTTGGAAGTTTAGCTAGTGCATTAATTTTACGCGATTCAATACAAGTTGGACCTGGTGGTGGTCAATTAGCTATACTTGCTTGTTATTTAAGTGAATTATTTCTTGGTTGGCGTTCATTAAAACGTCCTTGGATACCATTTATTAAAATTATTATATGTTTATTTATTTTATTAACTGTTGGCTTATTACCATTAGTTGATAATTATTCACAATGTTTTGGTTTTCTTATTGGTTTTATGTTAAATATGATTGTTTTTCCAGATGTTAATTTTCGAAAAAATGTTCGTCGTCTTGTTGTTGTTACAACATCATTAGCAATAACTATTGCTTTATTTATTTCATTAATTGTACTTTTTTATACAATACCATTTAAATGTAAATCATGTAGATTATTTAGTTGTCCATTTGGAAAAATATGTGGCAATGAAAAATCTGATTTGATCTAAAGAAAAACATTATCAACATTTGTCAGATAGAAAAATCGATTGTATTTAATTTGGATTTTTTTGTCTAACTTTATTTTTGTCACTGATTTATTCGTATTTCTGTGTTTCTTTTTCTTTTTCTTTTTCAAATGGATATAATAAAATAGTTAATTGTGTATCTTTCTCTGGCATAGCCTATAAATTTTATCAGCAGTAAAATATAGAGATATTATCAATGATAAATGTACAACACAGTAGAAGATTGTGATAAGAATAATACAAACAACCACATAATTCGATTAACAGACAACAGAGATGAAGCAAAAGAAGAAAGAATTCTGATATTATTAGTTTGTATAAATTGTTCGATGGCCTTGGCAATACGCTTTGCTTCTTGTTCGATTGAATATTTTCTTAAACGTTCGATCGGATAAGAAAACAGAATCGCATTGAAACGTTGATCAGCATGCATTCGTGTTGAATAAGTTGATAAACGATATCTAATTTGTCTTTGTTGTTGTGATTGTTCCATGGGAATAACATACTCAAAGCCATTAAGACGTAAAAAATACCCCAATGAATTGTTTCCTATAATGACACTAGGACCTGAACGTGATATAAGTTCATGCATGGTTGATTCAGATGGTTTACCCATAGTAGATGAATGTAATGGATCAAAACCATAACCAAGTTGTATTGTTTGAGAATTTCGATGAAAGACAAATTCTATAAAAAGACCACGTGATGGTAAATGTATAGCTTCTTTAGCCATAGCTATTAATCGATGATAATCCATATATGCACGAATAGCACTTTCGAGTAAAAATGTACCTCGATGTAAGTCCTCAGCTGGATCAACATATTGACGAGTTAATTTATTTAATATTGTATATGGATGATAATGTGATACGAATGATTGAGCTATAGCTTTAGTTAATACATACATAGATAATGTTGAGCTACGATCAATAACACATCTTGCATCAGGATGATATGAAAGTATTTTATTATTCGATTGTAAACAATCTTTGAATGTGTATACACATTGTTTTAAAGTTTCATTATAACAACCAGCTACAGGCAATTGCCATAGTATTGTTGTTAATGTTTCATTATTCAATGATTTTCCCAGTTTTTTTAATGTTAAATTGGCACCAAGAAAACCACCATGTGGTGATGAAAATATAAGATTAGTTGAACTACCACCACGATTAAATTCAATCGATGATAAATAACTTTGATCATCAGAATATTGACCGAAATTCGATCTTATATTAATAATAATAGTAAATATGAATAATCTTGTGTCGAAATGCATTTAAATAAAGCTAAAAAATTAACTATTTTATGGCTGCCATCAGATATCTACAAAATTTAAAAAAACACCTAATGACGCTTTTTATAATAATAATGTTTCCAATTTTTTTTTCTTCTTTTTGGTTTTGTTTATATAAATAACGATAGGATAGCACATGGATCATAAAAAGAATGATAGGAAAGGTTTTTCCAGAAAGAGAGAGAAAAAAAAAGGGTTTTTCTCGTAGCATAGTGACGAGGATGATAGAATACACTAGAGGAATAACAAACGCCTTCTTCGGTTTTTTTTTTCTTTTGTGGACTACACACTTTCGTTGGCACGTAATGAACGAGAAAGAAAAAAAAAGAGAAGAAAGGAAAAAAAATGGTTCCTAAACACGTCGTTCGTAGCCGAGTTCTACTATCTATGAATGTTCTATGTCAAGGCTAACAGACATAAGAATAATTTTCTTGGCAGACATTGTCCTTGTAAATAATTCTTCGGAAGAAAAAATTCATCTGGTTGCTAAAACATTCAAGAAAATAAAATTTTTTTTAACCGAACTTTTCGTATTTTTGTACAGAATAAATGTATTTTCATCGATATCGAATTTTTCTGCTTTGTTTATTTGTATTTTAACCAGATTTTCTTTGCAGAGAGTTGAAGATAGGTCAACACGTAGATGTTATTATTTTTTCTGCAGACATATATATATCATTCAAGGATGATAGACAATGTTTTGTTTGCTTATTGTTGTGAAATGACAAGCACAGCAGTTGATCTATAAGATAGCAGATATTTCACTAACCTTGAAGACAAATCATATTAATAGTATATGACAGAAAATAATTGACTAAAGACACATTCATAATAATTTTCTTTTATGTATTTTTACAGAAAAAGATTGATTTTATCCAAAATGATTGTCGTACAATATTCTAATTTAAATTTAATTAAGCCATTATTAATTATTGAATTAATTTCATTAGAATTATAAATATATAATTATTTATTTCGAATGATGAACTATGCTTGTTGCTCGTTTCATTGACATCATCAAAATGAAATACTAGGTTAGTCATCATGTGTTCATGTCTTATCTTTATATATGTACAGATTTTATCTCTCTATATAATTTTTCTATAGAATAATAAATGATGTGAAAGGGAATGTCAAGCATGAGCACAAAGTGGAGTCATTATATTTCAATAAATGAAACATTACAATATGAAATTTACACTTGCATTTGACCGGAGAGAAAAAAATGATGTATATGACGATAACGAATTGAGTGAACTGCCATCGATAATCGATTAAACGAATAAAAAGTGTGCAAAGCAGTTTCTCTTTTTTTAGAGAGAATTTTACCTGTGATATATTATCATTCAATTGTAAGGTGTGTACCATAAACAATCACCATTAAAATTTATATGTTGGCACCATTATTGACATCATATATCTTAAATCTGATTAATCTTTTTTCCGCTCTCTACAAACGTATCCAGTTGGTTTTAACCATGTTTTATCATGAAATAACAAAAGTGAACAAATTGAGTTCTAATACGTGATTGAGTCCTACGCATTATTTAAAAAAGAAAAGCAATGCATAGTTGTTCGGACAAAGTTTTTTTTGCTTCAGCTTTGCCATCATAAATTGCAAGGCTATATATAAATAAAAAATTGAATAAATATCACAAATTTTTGTGACATGGTGCCAACAAAAAAATATGGATAAAGAAAAAAATCAGCTTTTTCCACACGTATGTTTCAATGAAATATACAATCAGAATGACACAATCACAATATCTAATAACAAGATTATGTCATTCCTTCTTAGATTATCTGTCAAATTTGTCTATGGTATATTTGACAATTTTGACCAATTAAACATTTTGTTATTAGTCCGTAACATTTGTACATGGTTTGATACTAGCAGGCATTTACAATCGATATCAAGTGTACGTCACTTTTATTTCGAAGTGAAATTTTCAACCTAACCCTGTTCGAGAGCTTAACAGGTGAGGCAAAAATCCTTCATTAAATTTGTTTTGATATAGGTTTACAATGCAATATTGTAGAGAATTGATCCTTTCTGCTTTTGCTAGATAAAGCTAAGTATCTGGTATTAAAATTTTTAAAAGAATTTAATACAGAATATTTTCCGAAGGTAATACAAGTCTTAAAAACAAAAGATAATAGAAAACGTTTTTGAATTTAGAAAAATTTCATCCAACAAGAAACACTTTCTTATTATTCTTTTTTAAGTCTCATAACGTCAGCATAGGAGACTGCTATTGTACTAAAAGAAAATATTCAACGTGTTTTACAACGAATGATTTGGAAGAGCAATTGTAGCATTTTCGGATATCACTGATTCCTCGTAACATTGTGATCACGATGAAATAAACAAGTTCAATTGTAAAACGGAAGTTGTTCAAAAAAATATTTTTTTTATATGAAAAAGAAAGCTTCTAGAATCTTCTACTAAATTCTATTAACAGGAATTGAATACAGCTTCTCTGTAAGATGTTTTCAAGAAAACTTTCTATACGCATTATAAACTTTAAATTGAATTATTAAAGTATTTGTTGTTCAGTCTCTTGTTCGCTAGATCAGTTATTTTATTATTTCATGAAAGCAGTCGTTGCAAGGAACAATACACATATATTTATATGATATTGAAAAACATCAGAAGTCAATAATGAAAAAGGTCAAATATATATATTTGTATGTAAAAGCTCCGAGCGAAGTTGCGAATGAGTTTATTTTTAAGAGATTTTGTAACATTTAGAAAATTACTGTATCAAATTCATTGATAGATTTTTGCACTAGATAGTTTACTCCTTCTCATAAAAATAAAGAATAAAGTCTCTATAACATTACATTGTAATAGTGCATCAAAAACAAAATTACTGCACAACTTTTGCTTCATTGTTTATTTTATATATTTGAATAAATCATTTATCGATTCGGAAATAGAAACTTACATATCGTGAACGAATTTTTAAAATGCTCTCACGAGAGAAAAAAAATCAGATGCCGAACAGTTAATCGAAATATTAAACCAGGGCACCATTGATCTAATTTAGTATGTTAGCAGCTGTTTTTAAATTAACGTGTACATCGACAACTATCTTTAAAAAATAAAAAAATGTATTTTTTTCCATGATTAATAACTACAGAATGAACCATCAGCAAAATTATCATAGAAATTAGAAATATCTCTCCGCTGATTCAATCGATAGAGTTGATATTCTTTGAGTTATTAACATGTTTAATTTGTACAAATACGAATAAATTACACAGTCAACCTTTGTTTTTCTTCATTTTGAAAATATATTTTATTTGATTTGTAAATATCTCTGGAAAAATTATAATGCTTCCCATTGTTATTTGTGAATCTACTGTGTCAAAGCAACATAGCCATATCTTATTTCCATTGGATTACTTGTTATAAATTTGAGTGCATCATTCCAACCTTTAATGTAGTTCATAGATTCAAACGAATCGACTATTCAAAGTTGTTTATATTGAGTAGAGATTACAATACTTTTTTTTAATTGTCTCATCACAAAAAACTGAGTAAATAACATCAAACTGAGAAGTTCTTTAATAATTCATTTGAGTGTCAAAACATATTGAAAGCCTAAATTTATAAAAGTATGATAGACGTTTCCAGCCACAAAGAACATTTGAATAGAATTGAACGAATTTTTATCTTTTTTATTCATTGTTTCTTTTTTCTGCATTAAATCAATTAAAGCAATTTCCTACTATCGTTTATTAACAACGATCAGTCACTAGCAACCTAAGTTTTAGAATCGTTTAAATAAAAGTTTGAGTTAAATTGATTTTGAAGATTTAGATCTGACTGAAATGCAGTGGAATATAAAGCGCATTTGCCTATACTCTAACAGATAATATACCTTCAACAACTAATGACATAATATAGAGCTCCTAATATTATTTGGTCAAATGCTTTCTCTTTTCAAACATATTGCATCAAACAGAATGTTTCAATTTTCATCTTATATATCGTTCGTTAATATAAGACTCAAATTTTTTGTATATTAATTTGGATGAAATACTTCTTTTACTAATGCATTGAAACCTAATTTCTAGAACTCAAAAAATAGTTCATTGTCATTCTTTGTCTAATGGCAATATACAATTTACTCTAAAAAAAGAACTTCTCAGGTTCATACTAAATAACAAATTTAATGATGTTTATTTTTCGTTCGACTACCGATATCTCGACTATTATCATTAGGCACAAACATTCAAAGAGCTTGCTGTTGGTTCGAACCATATTGACAACGAAGAATCGCAACACTTGTTTCATGTATTACAGCAGAATCATAAAAAACATACTAATAGTTTTTTTGGCCGTATATCTATCATACAAACTTATGACATTACTATTCAATGTAGATATTGATTACTTTAGGTCTCCATAGTTGCAATGTCACTCATGAAGAAGTATTGCATTCAGAATTTGCAATATAAAATAATGATTTCAGATGATTTCTTTGCATGTCTATTATATATCGACTACTATCATCTAACATAGACAGTGAAGCAACTTCAATTTACATAGAATGCAATCAGTGATTCAGAAGTACAGTATCGAACTAATAGACTACACAATGATATGTTTTATCTACTTCTGTACTTACAAAGCTAAATCTTATTGAGGATGAAATAGTCAATAATGGCACTTGAGATTTAATTTATACATGACCATGTAACATGATGAGATAAGTTTTAGATGCATCTATTAATTGTGCCCCATGATCATTCGACATAAACGTTTATATTATTCAAATTTAATTAAAGCAGAATCAATAAAGAACAACCATAACATTTGGCAAATATGTATTCCATAATAACAATGTGAGATATCGTTTATACCCAACTGTCATGTAATTATTATGATTATTAAACATAGACGCTAGCAAGGTGAAATATTTTGGGTAGCGTCATTGGTTATGATGGATTGCAGTATATAGTTGATACATTACAGAATAATGAATTAAGATTAGTTCTTCTATTCTTGAATGCATGTGCAACATTATCTTGCAACAGCGACTCAAAGATTGATGAAGTTTATTCGCAAATTAATGAGTGCTGAGTACGCAAAAATTTTTAGCTAATACTTAAGGAAACAAAGCAGTAAGATTGATAATCTGCTGAGTAGATTTATGTATAAATAATTATTGGTCTATGGATAATTTCAAGATATCTGAACGTTATTATTGGCAAAGTATACTATTGTTTTTTCATAAAATGATTTCATGTTAAATTTCTGAAATTGTATGGTTCACATATATATATATAATAAGGAGTTAAATCAATTTTCAATAAGTTTATGGGAGCTAAGTTTGATGAACAGATTTTTTATGGTATGTTGTCAGACTGAAGATGCCTTACAATATGTTAGCAGATTTGTCTTCATTCATGCATTTGATTCTTGATTTCGAACTAATAGATTCTATGTGATAATTGAGGTATTAAAAACTTCTAAACTTAGTTTAGAATCGTATGAGACAACTCCTATTATAAAAATTTGCTGTAACAACGTGTTTAAAATTGAAAACATTTCTCTTCTTCTGCTTATTATAATTTTTTACCAAAGTGATTCTTTGCAGCATGACAAGAGTGTGTAGATGGTAATAGAAAGCATAAGATAATTATGTTTCATTTATAATTGTGGATAGAAAGTGCATCTACTAGTAATCCTACGAAAGAAACGTCTTCTGATCCGTTTACCAGTGTTCTATGATGTTAGAAATTTGAAAAAGAAATAAATTATCCAGAAAATAAGAAAATCTGCAAGGCTATAGCTAATGATAGTCGATATTTTAAAGAATTTTATAGAACAAGGACATTTTTCACTGAAATCATTTTATTGTTGGACTTACGTGAATTTTCTTTTTCTAACGATTATTGACTAATGACTAACCAGCGATGACTATGATAAATTAACATATTTGAACACATGTTTACTATTATTTATAAGACTATCTATTTGAACATCTATATTCGCTGAAAAAGTCATTCTAATGAACTCATATATTTTTGATTGAATATCATTTCTATGAAAAATGAATTTATCCAAACAGAGTAAGTAAAATTCTTTCGAGTAAATATGGTCTAAGTGTGACTCAAACAGAAATTAACTATTAATGCTTATAATACACTTGATACATATACAATAATATCAGAAGAGTTTTCAGATAAAACATGATTTGAATGATATTTGAAAATTATGGAACTTAGTTGACATTGACTCTCTCACCATGAAGAAAGTTTGTTAAATATAGTGAGAATAAAGACTTGTGAAACACCTGACTATCTAATTACAATAAAAAAAAATAGGCTAATTTGAATAATAAAATTTGAATATTTGTTATACTTGACAGTAGATCTGTTTAATATTCATTGAATAGACATATATATTGAATCAGTGAAAACACCTTAATGCACGATATAGAGGTAGTGACTCATAAGCATGATGAAATTTGATATTCTTGGACAATGAAATGATCTTTACTATTTATTAAATTGATCAATATCAAAGTTAAAGCAATATGGATGAAACAGAGTCAATTAATTGTACTATTCATTCACATTCTTTAAACAAATGGAATAATAAACTCCCTAAATATATATATATATATACAAATAACTTGGTTTTCTTTTAAGTAGCCTTTATTTTATTTTTTTGTATTACCATGACATATTTCTATGCTTACAAAATTCATCAGAAAAAGAATAAGCAAAAACGAATATGTCATGTAAAAAGCTTCAGATTTTATTATGAGAAACTTGTATGCGATACGTCACTAGCTTCGAGTAACTACGTAAAGCAATAGTGTAAATGAGCAATGGAGTGATATTATACTTTTACGTGAGTTTATCAAATCACAACTAGCACCATTATTTGGTCGTTTAGTAGTAGTAGTACTATCACCAACTGCTAATTCAATAAAATTATCCTTGACAACTGATCGAAGCCAGTCACGATAGACAGAAACACGTGTATAAACACCAGCATAGTTAGGCTCACCACAGCCTCTTCCATAACTAGTGACACCAGCTAACATCCATTGACGTTTATTTGAATCAAAATGCATTAAAGGACCACCAGAATCACCTTGACATGTATCTAATAATATAATATAAATGAGAAAAAAGCATCACTAAATAGTAAGATAGTCTCTATACAGAGACTCATGATCATTCTTTTACCTTTTCCACCGCCTTCCACAGCAGCACAAAACTGAATTTGTCGATTATTAATCGTAGATATGCACATTCGATGGTTTGCAGACATTGCTTTCAATGTTACTTGTTGAAGGTGTCGATCATTCGGTATCGATATTTCCCCAGATGCCAGTGTACCCCATCCAACTGCTACCAGTGCTGAGTCAGGAACAGGAAAGTCATTACTTATACTCGTTGAAACAACATGAGGTAAACATAGTCGAGCAGTACCTCTTTCATAAGAAATATCCAATGGTCGATCAAGTTGTAAAACAGCAATATCATTGGCGTACGAAGCAATATTGTAGTTCGGATGCGAAAAAACCCTTGCAATAGAACGTACTTGAGAAGTTGACGATGTTGATTGAAACAATTTATCTATGCCTGCAACTACTCTTGTAACTCGGATTATCTCGGAAGGATCTGGCACACAATGAGCAGCTGTAATTATATATAATGGTGAAATAATTGCACCACCACAAAAGTGTTCACCATTCTTTTGTAATGATACAGCCCATCCCCAACTTGAGTCAACTGCTGATTCACCACCAACAATTTTATTTAATGTAGCATCAGTTTTTGAACATCCACATTCAGCATTACAATTGCAAGAATAAACAATTGGTGAAACGAAGTTAATATTATATAGAAAGAGAGACAAGAAGAAAAGATACATGCAGACCATTGAATCGATTTAGATGAAATTCAGTAGCGTAATAATGGATGTGCTTTAACCTTTTATATGAGAACGATCCAGTATTTGAAATTAGTTCGTTTTTTCTGTCGGCAATGAGTAACACTTATTTTTTGCGTGGTTCAAATAACTGTCAATATGTGATCATATTCTTACTTGATTTCAAAATATGACTGTAATGCTTGCTTTATATTTACACTCTCCCTCAAAGCTAAAACAAATCGTAAATATTTTTCAGGATTCAAACTTAAATTTGATATTAAAAAAATATGGCATAATCTTATTGATGAGTAAATCTCTTTTTACAAAGATTAATCATCAGTTACTGGCAACCTGTACATTTCCAAATATTGATTGGCATGTTATTTTTAGGGTGAACCACACTATAGCTTTCATTCTTCTGCAGAATTTAGCATGATCATCAATAAGAGTGTTAATAAAAACATTCGAATTAAGGGCTCCGCTCTCACAGAAAAAGCAGATTTTGGTCAAATATATCAATTTTGGGATTTATAGCTCGTTGGATAAGGAAAGTGTTTATTCTCGAATGCAATATAGTTTATTGGTTTTATGATGAGATTGAAGGATATTACATAGGTTTTTCTGAAACCTCATACAGAAGAAAATAATGCTTTTTTTTCTAAAAAGTTTGATTTTTACTGTCTTCTGAACTTCTCTGTTGTCTTTTGGCAGTAATTGGACATAGCTATTATGCATCGCTAAGTATGATAAGTGAAAACAACACTCGAGCAAGAAAAACCATAGAATGAGATGAAAATAATAAATATTGATTCATAACTACGCGTAAGTCGACAGAGCTTATTGCGAAAGGTTTCTCACTATTATTCCGCCATTGTAAAATAGGTTATGAATCACTGTTTACTTTTTTGTTTTTAATAAACTTTTTCTGATCATATTCTCAATGATGGTGAGTATAACATGTTTTCAAGTGTTTTAGATAATTTGAAAATGCTGCTACTACATGATGTATATCGGTTTAGATAAATTTATAATTTTTTTTTAAACAGGTGCTGTTTGTGGATATCTTGACGAACGTCACATGTCCATATGAAAACGAAAAAGAAATTTCTTGTACAACTACATACCCGTTCATTTTGTTCGCTCTAATCATTCATCTATGCCAAATTACTCAAAAATTCTTTTTATATCAGTTTACGGAAGAAACAATTTTGATTTTCAGTGTAAAAACGTATTTTCATTTTTGTCCGCAATACGGTTTTGGAATTTTGTTGTTTCCATGCGCTCCAGATTTCTTCGTTAATCTAAACACTAGAAAGCTGGACTTTGTGTCAAAATGAAGTCAAAATATAGTTCTACAACTATACAGAACCAGATTTTTGAATGTTCTCTTTAATATTTATTAAACATTAACAGTTCTGAACCTATACCCCCTTTGGTTTTTCGTATTTTAACAGAGTCGTTTTCTAGAAATACGATCTAGAAAAAAATCGAAAAATCAAACCCTATTAAATTGCAACGTCACGTCTTCACTACAATTTAAAACTAACCCAAACATTCTAACATTTGCAATGGCGAAGAGTTTTAGAAGACACACAAACCTAAATCTTGATCTATGATCGTAAGCTAACTGTTCATAAACTCAATGTATCGAGCTGTAACTTTTACTGTGAGACACCTAGCTAGAGATAACCTCCACGGAAAATTTCATCAAGATTGGATGCTCAAAAAAAATTTAATTTGTAGAGAGCTTCTTAAATGATCTCATATTTTAAACTTAAATTACTAAGGCAAGTTTAGCAAAAATAATGATAAATTTGCTTCGAAAGGTATGTGACATTCAGTTGCTGTCATTTAAAATAATCACTTCAATCTAAAAAAAAACTGTGAAAGTACCTTGTTTAAGGGAACTTCTCTTTCTCAACTAAGCAGTTTTAGACTTTCATTTTTAGTTTCTTTTTGCTCTTTGCATTGAAAGTCTAACATCAGAAAAACATGATAAGCATTTTGAAACATAAAATTCATTTGAATAGCTCCGATGTAGTTCTTATCTTTTTCTACCGATTGTTCGTTTTTCTTCATAAAATCAATTAATTCGACTTCCTAATATCACTGATTAACATTGATCATTCAGTAGCTATAGCTACGTAATTGTTAGAATCATTTAAATAAGCATTTGAGTTACATCATTTTTGTAGACTTATATCTGATCGATATACAGTAGAATATTGTGAAACCTTCATTTATGTTCTAAAAGATAGTATAACTTCAACAACAAGTCACCATTGTCGTAAATTTTGCTACGAAACTGTATCGAACTGATTAATAAAAATATATGATCCTATTATTACGAGTCGAATGGTTTCTCTTTTCAAATATGTCATGATATACTTATTTACTCATGCATTGAGCATTAATTTTTAGAAATAAAATAATAAATCCAATATCACTTTTGATCTGTTCAACTACAAAAATCTCGATTATTATCATTCGACACAAACATAAAACGAGCTTGATCTTGATTCGAATGACATTGATATCGAAGGAGCACGATATTTGTTTCATGTATCCATGCATAATCTAGTCAGACTAATAGTCTTTTTTTCACCATATATCATAGAAATATATGACATTATTATTCAATATAGACACTGACTACTTTAGATCTTCACAGTTATAATAACACCACTCATGAAGAAGAATTGTATTTAGCATTTGCATTCAAAAATAATGCTGTGAGATTATTTCTGTGGATGTTTATTATATAGCAACTACTATCATCCTTCACAGACAGTAAAGCAACTTCTATTCACATAGAATAAAATCGACGATTAAGGAGTGTACTATCTAACTAATACATTAGACAGTAATATATTGAGTCCCTTTCTCTATTCACCACATAAAACCTTCTTGAGAATGAATCTGTCGATGATGGCACTCGAAATTTAACTAGAAAATGATTAAGTAACACGATGAAGAAAGACTTTTATGCATCTATCAATTTGCCCTATTATTATTCCATATTAACACTTACTGTAGTCAAACATAATCATAGCAGAATGAATAAAGGTGAACAATAGTATTTCGGTAATGTATTTTATAATAATATAGCGAGATATTTTCCATACTCAATTATTATGCATTTATTATTGTTATTAAACACAAACACTAGCAAGGTAGAATATTTTGAGTAACATCATTAACTATGAATGGTTGTAATGTATAATTTATACATTACAGAATGACGAACTACCGAGAAAACATCTTTAACTGTTCTCGTTAGATTTCAATGATCTTTTGCCTATAGATAATGCAAAGTTTTCTAATAAAAACCCTTAAAGGATTTGAATTCTTATTAATATTTGATTAAGCTATCAAATTTTTAATTTGTCTATTTTCGAGAAATCCTAATTTTGGTAAAACTCGTATTTTCAAATTTTGATCTGAATCTTTGCATATTTATTGGAGAAAGTCTGGTAGAGATATGAGACTGCTAAGATGTAGACTCTTTTCCATGAATACTGCTGACAACGTGTATTTATTGAAATCCTCGTATCTTGAGGAGACTTTGTTTAAAACTTCTGAATTTTCTTATGAAAGGTGATCTAATTTATTTTTCTATATGAACGAAGTTTTAGATTAAAATTCGAAAATACGAGTTTTCCAATAATCTAGGGTTCGATATGGATTTCTAGCAAAGAGACAAATTGAAAACTTGATAGCTTAGGCAAATCTCAATAGAAAAGCAAATCCCTTGGGGTTGTTATTAGAACACACTGTAATACCTATATACAAAAGATGATCGGGATCGGAAGGATGTAGCGGATGAAGTTGCCTCGTAAGTATTGTTTTCCTCTTGTTTATTACATGTTCGACATTATCTTTCAATAGAGACTCAAATTCTAGATTTTTGAAATGTGATTGATAGTACTCTGTCCTTATTTATAAAGAGGCATTTATACTCTGAAAATCTAGGCAACGCCGAGGTTTTTAGATTATCTCCTTCAGTAGTCAAAAAGCTTTTTCGGAGATCAAGAATTTCGACCAACTGCTCTGAGATCATCACAAAATACGGGAAGATATGATTAAAGAGTAACGTTTACTCAATGGATGATACTTGTTTTCAGTTTTAATCTAGTCTGAAATAAATAAATCAAAGCTTTCAATATGTGTTATGCAAGCTAAACAGATGCATAAGTTTGTTTTTCGAAAACTTTGATGTTCTGGTTCAAGATCTACTTGAAATTCAAAATGCAAGACCACCTCTCGACTCATTGAGATTTATTAACCTTATCTCCATGTGTCTTGAGATAATTCAACACGAGTTGCTCAAAGTTCTAGGTCTCCTAAAAAGCTTTGGAATTACTAAACGATGTAGTCTTAAAATTTCGACATTTCATAGATTTATGGAGGGCGAGTTCCTGTTTAGAAATGAGAACAAGTACCATCAAATACAATCCAAAAGTTTTGTAGAAAACTGATCTCGAAACTCTCAGAATGATCCATCTTATTGACTGATTTCAAACTGATCAAATTCAACATAGTTTAATGCTACCAACATTTCTCCTTTGAATGGTGAAAATCAGAAGCTTGTCATCTGTTATCTATGAAACGTTATTCAGAAAACAGAAATGCCTATTGCTTCTACAAAAACGGCATCAATTCGTGAACATCTTCTTAGCACGATTTTTGTGTCAATTAATCGATGTTTTGAATAAGAAATACAAGAAAATCGACGTAAAATAATATAACAACAGCAAAAAACTGGTAATGCTCTTTTGTATTGTCAAGACACTGATTCAAACGCTATTCCACGCAGTTTATCACTCTCTATTCATGCTATAAGAATGATGTTTTTCGGTTGAACTTTTGCACTTCTAGAAAGGTTTTATCATTTCGTAACATTGTTACATAAAAAGACCCTTTTTCGGTAGTGCCGGTGATAAAACTCTTATTTCCTGTCAAAGCATTTCTCCAAATGAAAAACTTCTACAACCATCTTGCAGAGCATCGCACAAGCTATTAAGCTGTGAAAATGATTTTCACTTAGCTATTTTTGCTCAGATTCAAAAAGACAATAAACTAAAAGAGTAAAGTTATGACACAGATTTTTGTTGATCAATTTCAGAGCACTTAACGTGCTTAACGGCATGTGATTTTCATCAGCATTAGTCTTTTCTGTATATATCATTTCTACAAAAAGCTACAGAACCATCGGTTAGTCACGATGTATTGGTTCTATTGGTGAAATCATCGTAAACTGGGGATATCTTCGTAAAACTGATGGGATGATGATGGATCATTAAAGGAACTTAATGAAATAGAGCACCTTGGACTGAAATCATTCTATTGTTTCATGTTACGTATCTTTTCTTTTTCTTAGTTGTTATCAACTAATGAATAACCAGTGATGACTACGATAAGTCAACATATTTTAACATATGTTTTTTGTTGTTATTGATAAGACTTTCAATTTGAATATCTGTATTCATTGGAAAAGTCATTCTAATGAACTTATATATCTTTTATTGAATATCGTTTCTATGAAGAATGAATTCATTCAAACATAGTAAGTAAAATTCTTTTGAGTAAATATAATCCAAATGTGACTCAAGCAGATATTGGATATTAATACTTATTATACACTTTATGCATATACAATAGTATTAGAAAACTTTTCAGATGAAGCATGATGTAAAGATTATGTGACAATTATAAAGCTACTTTCACTTAACTACTCTCATCATGAAGACTTATTTTGTCGAACGATCGTGTGATATTCATTTCATCTGTAAATGTATATTAATATTCACCTAATTTAGAGAGAATATACTTGATCCGAGAAATACGAGTTGGTTCCGACCGCAGCAAGTACGAACAATTGAAAGAACTTGAAAGAAAGATATTGATGATCGAATCCGGTCATACTTAGTTCTAAATGAAACAAGAAAAATATGACCATTGAGTCTCGTCCCCGAGCTTTCCGGCTTCCAAGCACCGGTCGATTGATAAACTTCTCCGGTCAGAATTGACGTCTTTCGGTGGACTCTGGCTCAATGCGCACGAATGCAGGCACCGGAACCTTTGTCTTAGCTATATATTTATGGTAAAAAAGTAGGTCAACTCAAAGAATAAGCGTTCAATATTTGGTTATAGTTGGCAGGATATCTGTGTAATAGTCATTGAATGCACATGTATATTGAAGTAATTCAAACATCTTGATGCTAGATGGATAAAACTTGACATCTTTAAATAATGAAATGATCTTTACTCTTTGTTAAATCGTTAAATATCAAAGTTAAAACAGCATTGATGAAACAGAGCTACGTATACTATTCATTCAAACTCTTTCAACAAATGGAATAAAAGCTCTCTAAATATATACATAAATAACTTGGTTTTCTTTTAAGTAGACTTTATTTTATTTTATTTTATCACCATGATATATTTCTATGCTTACAAACTTAATCAGAAAACGAATAAGCAAAGCGAACATATCATATAAACATTTTCAGGTCTTAGTATTAAAAACTTCTGTTAGATACGCAATTATCTTCGAACAAATGTGTATAGTGATAAGATGAATGACCAATAAGGTGATAGTATGCTTTGAAGTGAATTTATCAACACAGAACTAGCACCATTGCTTGGTAAGTCGGTACAATTATAATGGATCTGTGGTTTAGTAGTAGTAGTAGTAGTGGTAGTAGTAATAGTTTCATCGATTACTAATTCAATAAAATTATCATTGACAACTGATCGAAGCCAGTCACGATAGGCAGAAGCACGTGTATAAACACCAGCATAGTCAGGTTCACCACAGCCTCTTCCATAACTCGTGAGACCAGCTAATACCCACTGACGTTTATTTGGCTCAAAACGCATTAAAGGACCACCTGAATCACCTTGACATGTATCTAATAATATAATATAAATGAGAAAACAAAATATTATTCAACAGTAAGATACTCTATAAATAAAGGCTGATGATCATTATTTTACCTTTTCCACCACCTTCCACAGCAGCACAAAATTGAACTTCTGGAACATTGACTGAACCTCTGCACGTTGAATGGTTTGCGGAAATTGCATTCAATGTTACTTGTTGAAGGTGTCGACTATTTGGTATCGATATTTCCCCGGATACCACTGTACCTCATCCAATTGCTACCAATGTTGAGCCAGGGACCGGATAATCATCACTGTTATCGGCTGAAACAAAGCTAGGTATACATAATCGAGCAGTACCTTTTTCATAGGAAATATCCAATGGTTGATCAAGTCGTAAAATAGCAATATCATTGGCATTCGAAAAACTATTGTAGTTCGGATGCGAAAAAACATTAGTAATAGATCGAACTTGAGCAGTTGATGATGTCGATTGACTCAATATATCTATACTGGCAACTACTTTTGCATCGCTAATTATTGTAGCAGAATTCGGTACACAATGAGCAGCAGTAATGATATGTAATGGTGAAATAATTGAACCACCACAAAAATGGCTGCCACTTCTCTGTAGTGATATAGCCCATCCCCAACTTAAATCAACTGCTGATTCACCACCAACAATTTTGTCTATCGCAACATCCACTTTTGAACATCCACACTCAGCATTGCGATTGCAAGAATAGACAGTTGATGAAACGAGATTAATATTATATAGAAAGAGAGAAGAGAAGAAAAGATATATGTAGACCATTGGATCAATTTAGATACAATTCCGTAGCATAATGATGAATGATTTCTCGACCTTTTATATGTTTCGTTTTTTCTCATTATTTCTGTTTTACTCATGAAAACATCCCGAGAACGATCCCATATTTACAATTACTTTGTTTTTTCTTCTTTAGATAATAAGTAGTATGTTTTATTAAGCCATTTCAAATAATTGCTGATATTAAGTCATTATCTTGTTGTATTTGAAAATATGACGATAACTCTCACTACATATTCACGTTCTCTGTTAAAACTAAGATAAATAATAAATATTTTTCAGTATTAAAATCTAAACTTCATATTAAGAAAACATTATTATCTTATCGATTAGTAAAAGACATGTTACAACGACCAATTATCTAGCTGCTTCTACATTTCCAAACAAAGATTTGTTTCTTAAATCTCTTGTTGGTTATGTATTTGTTTCATGTTGTTTTTAAGATTAATCATATTATAGTTTTCATTTTTCTTCAGGATATAGTAGAATTATGAGTACGAATATAAAGAAAAAACAGTCGGATTAAATGGATTTATGTTTCAAATATAAAGTATTAATACAAGTTTAGACAAAAAAAAATAATAAATTTACCTCAAAAGACATCTGATATGTTGTTGTTGTTGTTCGTTCGTTCACAATAGTCATTTGAGTTTAATATATGAAAAAGCACCTTTTTTAAAAGTATTTCTCTTTCTTGACCAAGAAGTTTTCAACTTTTTCTGCTCTGCGTGTACTTCGAGGTATTTCCTGTCTACTGAACCTGTTTCTAGACGGTAATAGGTGACAAAACGATAAAGCTGAAAAACTTTCGATGAAGAATATCAAAAGTTGCATAGTATTTTGGTGATTTAGAAAAAAAGAGGTTCTGGGACCAAAAAAGAAAGAGTGGAGAGCCGTTTCCTATTCTCAGTCATATTCGATTCGACCGAACTTAACCTCTTTTTCTACGCATACTAGAAAGTATTGAGGGGGCGTACTTTTTTGTGTTTTAAAATATGGTTTAATGTTGGCTTTTGCCAGGATTTATAAAGAAAAGCTTCGATGAAAAAAAAACAATCAGTCATGTATCTGACAGAGTCCTCTCAAGATTTTGCTGTTTTTATTCGAATGGGAGAAAATAAAAAGAAAGCAATAAAATTAGACAATTCTTTCTTAAGTCCAATGTTTTAAAAATTGTTTTACCTCTATCAGACGTATTATTACTGAGAAATGTGTGGAGCTATAAGAGAGACATTGTTGCCACTGTGTCTTAAAACAGTACTTACTGGAAAGCATCTAGGAGTTTTGATTCGCGGACAAGTTTTGCTCTACTTATCAAAATCTATCTCCTGATAATTTCAAAATTTTTCGATAAATCTTTCTCTAAAAGTGCCGGAAAGGCGGACGGATTTCTTTGTGGAATGTGTGAAACATTAACACAATGCTTATCATATTAAAGTAAAAGCAAAAACAAATAATATTCACTTTCTATGCTACTAGATTCTCAAAAGCTGATCATTCCATATTATACGACAAATAAATGCTAATATTTCCAAATGAGAAATAGTTCAATTGTTATTAAAAATAAACTTTTTATTTCAATTTAATCTTCACTCCGGTCAGGCATATTTCTAATAAATAATTATTTCGAGTACGAATGTTATAAGTTCGTTTCTATTCGTAGAATGAAAGTCAATGATTCATAGATGAATTTTCAGCTATCACATTACTGTTGATGACTATGATAATTCTATATTAACCCTATTTTTAAGTAAATTTTTACATAGAATAAATTCGAATTATGAAAATGAAAGAGGCTCAGGCGATTGCAAAACATTGAAAAGAAAATTGTGTGGATAAAAACAAAACAAAAAAAAGAGAACAGTAGTCGTTTTTCGTTCCCGATCGTAGTTTCTGACTTCAAGAGAAAAATCGTTGCTAAAAAGAGTTTTCGAAAAACCGTCGAGTTTTAGTTCATTTTGTTGTTTTTGCTCTTGTTAACAAGTAAAACTATCACTCGAACATATGCATAAAGACTTTTAAAAAAACTACTTTTAGCACATTTTTACACGTGTTGCGGCGGTGCATCATGTTAACCCTACAAAAAGATAGGTTTTTGCCTTTTGTATTCTTCTATATCTGTAAAACGTACCATTGACTAACGTATTCTTCTCTGTTTCAGATGACACTCATTTTAAACGCTAACAATATGGACCTTTTTATGGGCTTACAATTGTTCAAAACGAAATTCTTTTGTATGAAAAAATGTGAAAATGCACAGTTTTCGGCGTTATCATCATATCTCTTCAAAATACGCATGAAATCAAGTTAAAAGTCAGGTTTTTTAAGTTTTCATAAGAGTTTTACTTTGTATCCTTTTTTTTGTGATTAGCAAAAGCGATAAAATAAATTTAATTGTATTAATTAAATGATTTATTTAGAAGCTCGTTTTTTCTATTGTTTTTCTTTCATGGTTGAGAAATCGCGCTTGGAAACAAGCAAACTACCATTTTTCCTTACTTGTTTTTTGTCCATTTACGAAAGTCCTTAAAGGTTGTGCGATTGTGTGAAGAGCAGTTCGATAATCATTCCTTATTATGTCAATGTTCTTTTCAGTATTCTATTCATTTTAAGTTCTTTTGAAAGAACAATTAGACTTCTGAAGAAACACATCCAACTGTCGGACACCATTTGATTTCATATTTTGGCTACGGACAGGTCTGAATGAAACTAACGAGGAAAGGTTTTTAGTTATGACACGTCAATTAAGTTTATGTTTTGCTCATGAGTAGGCCTCAGTGTGATTAGAAGAAGTCTGGCATGATTCTTCCTCCTTTACCGTCTTTTTTGAGTTACAATTATTTTCCTATATTTTCTGTCTTAGGTAAAACATATTTAAAAGAGTCTAGTTATGAAATTTTTATCTGAATTTTTGTACATTGATGGATCTTATGGTCATTAGAATATCCTTAACTTTCGTCTCGATAAATACTGTTTTTTGGATATCCAATATCTGAAAAAGAAAACATTCTTTCAGGCTGAAATGTGTAGGACCATAAGATACATCTATGCGGGAATTTTCAAATCAAAATCCCATAAATAGTCTATTTAAATATGTTTTACGTTAGACAAAATATACAGCAAAACAGTAGTAACTCAAAACAAGAAGCGTATGCGGACAAACCATTTCAGACTTCTTCTAGTCTCGCTAAGACCTACTTGTAGATAAAGTAGCTACTTGCTCGATGCGTCATACTTGAAGACATCCCCTCTAAAGTCAAGCTTTAAAGGATTCGAGCCTACGGTTTACTAATAAACACTTACGATTGTTTTAATGAAATTGTTTCTGAAAGAAAGGCATTTTTGAAAAATCCAAAACAAATATTTTCTATCTGAAACTTTGTTTTTAGACACGTTTGATATCCATTAGGTAGTCTTGAAAGTTTCAACGAAAACGGGCATGTCTTTCTCCATGTATTTGAATTCCAATTAGACTCGATTATTGTGTTCTTCTATAGTAAATCGCTGGCTTTTTGAATATTGAATATCTCCTGAAAGACATGTTTGTTTTCGTTGAAACTTCGAAGACTAGATAAAGACTATCAAGCATGCCTATAGACAAAATTTCATGTTGAAATTCTTTTTGTTTCAGATTTTTCGGACATATCATAGTCTCAGTAACAATTTCATTAAAATAGCCATTGCTCTTTATCAGTAAGCCATGAACTCGAATCCTTTTCAATTTGACTTCGTCTTATCAACATCTACTTGTATCTATAATATGAAGACGAACAGTATCTGGCAGTTGGACATATTCTCTTGTTAGTTTGTTATTTATCAACAAGTAAACTTGAACTGTAAAATTATAATCAAATATTAATAAAAAAAACAATTATTTAAATGTGTTTCAAGTTATTAAATTATTTATTTTCATAAATACAAAATTTCTAACAAATAAGATAAATATCAACAAAAACAATTTTTAAATTTTGTTTTTCTTCTCATAATGTTGATTGAATAAATTAAGTCAATGTAACATCATTGCTGATTTGAATTTCTTTCAAATAATTAACTAAAGTTTGTGCTAGTTCACCAGAAACATTATGATAATGTTTTAAATGAAATTTTAATGTACTAAATACAACTGAACGAAATCCGCATGGTACATGTGATACCGTTTTCTTATTACATCCAAATAAATTAATCATTCCATCACGAAATGGACATGAAATTCTGTAAAAATGATTAATAACATCTTCATTATCTTCAAATAGTTTTGTTATCATAGGATCTTTATTTTTGACTATAGCTTGTACTAAACGTCGAGCACAAGCTGCTTTTAATGTATGTTTACCTACAAAATGAGCATATAATCCAATTCGACGAGAGCGTTTATTCAAACAAAAATCAATGGAATGTTTTGCATTAGTAAGACCATATGCTCCATCAAATACTAATGGGCATTTACCAAAGTAAGTACTGCATGATTTTGCTTCTATTTTATTTTGTTCTTCATTAATATCTTGATCCTAAAAAAAAATAAAACAAACGTCTAAATATCTATGCGGGCATTCACTTTATAGAAAATCAAAATCATTTACACGTCTATAAAGAACTGCTAAATGAGTTCATCATAAATACCGTATAATATTAACTTGAATGTAGATTTAATGACAAATAAATGCTACAATAGTTATACTTTTAGACTATAGAGAAGCATTGGAGGATCACGAAGAACCAATTATATAGAAATATAATCTTCGTGCAATCTTAAGTACTATTGTATTTGATATAAAACTAAATATTTTCTATCAAAAATATACAAAGATTCAAAAATAAAATCTGTTAAGAAAGCAGAACTCATTTATCAAAACATCTCTCACTTCATCAATTCTTTATATTACGCATACGAAACTACATTTGATAGTAAATTCATTTTTAGCGTCAACGAACTTCGAGAACAAGTCCGCGAGATATTTTTTTCCCACACGTTGGAAGAATAACTGCGAACAGATAACTATTCGCTTAGAATTCCCTTGATCGACTAGTTTCATTTTTCTAAATAATCTCTATCAAATGCAGTATTTTTACTTTATTTACTGTTAATCTGTATTTTCTAGTTTTATCAGCTATTGTCTCTGGCTAAATCGAGAAGTCAAAAGGAAAATGCGCTCAGGAACGTCAATTTCATAATTCCTAATATACACAGAAAAATTTTGAATCAAATCTGCTAAGTGAGCATATGCATCTCATTGGAGCCTTAATTAGTTAAAATTTGATGCAGATACAGTAAAACATTATATATATATATATATATACTGAATTGTTCCAAACATAAAATAGAGAAGAGAAATAAATACAACCACTCCAGCCTAGAGAAAATCACGTTTTCCTGTAGCAGAGTATAACGAAAATTCTTGCATCACTTCAAAACCTTCGATTCATCGATTTTGATCTTGTCAGAACGTGACTTAGTATGCATAGAATGACGCTCAAAATTAATCATACATCTAGTCGATAGTGTTGTTTTTCTAATATCTAAAGATGGTTTCAATAGATTGAGTTGCAGGTTTTCGCTAAAATATAGCTCCATTTTCATAGTTTATCTGCTTAAAGAATCAGCTTTCTATGTCATGGATTTACTTTGTCAAACTGAAAATACTAAAAATGATGTATTTCGACATTACTCAAAATTGATCATACGTCACACGCGAAAAATAATTGAATATTGTACTTCGTATTTCATGTTTTTAAATGGAAAGGCATATTTGAATAATGTTTTAATAAAGTCTCATTTGCTTTTCAGTGAGAACATTGTAAATCTAATACTTCTTGGTCAAAAAGGTACAATACGAAGTTCGTAATTATAATGTGTCCTTATATTGTTGTATATGGTGTATGACCAATGTTGAGATATAATTATTTTACCTTAGTCGATTTTTGTGTTTGACTAAATAAAAGTAACAAATGCAAATAATTTTAGATCATTTCTAAACAACAAAGCAAAACTTACTCAAATAAAACAGTTTCAAAAAAATCACGATTAGTCAACGTTGAATATCGACCATCTTAAATCATGTTTTTTATTCTTTTATAAATTAAAAAAAAAATTGACTTACTTTTTGGATTTCCCAATTTTTCTCTTACACCTAAATATACAAAAACAAAAATTAATCTTTTGAAATGTTGTTATCTTAGATACCGGTTTTTATTGTTGAATCCAAACAAGTAGCAGATCTAATAAAAATAAATGAAATAAAACATATGAAATAGAAATCAAATACTTTGATTTTGAACGAGTTTTTCTTGGTGATGATTGATCTATTATAAGTTAATTTAAATTAGATAATAGAAAAAAATTGATTTACCAATTGAGTTTGTTTTTTTCTTATTACATGTGCAAATACAAGAACAATTTTTCGTTTCTAATAATGAAGATTCGACTTTCACAATTGTTTCGTCTATAATAAAATAAATGATAAACAAAAGTCTATTATCCAATTAATTTTCACCTGAATGATTTGAAGAAATTGCTTGATTAATTTGTTCAAGAATATTTTGAATTTCATCTGTTGAACTATTGAGTACATCAATTTTTTTTGCTCCTTCAATCAATTTTTCTTCACGTTCAATATTAACTAGTTTTTCTTCAATAATTAATTCAAGTGTAGTTATAACTGTGTTTAATTCATTACCAAGCATATGTAACCGTTTTTTATTCTGTTTTGTTATTTCAACATGCTCAATCAAGTGATTTAAACAAACAAGACGTAAACAGCAATGACATTCATACAAATCTTTTATTTCTTCATTACATGTTACATCAGTACATGAACCGATTTCAGGCATTTCTGAAAAAAAAGAAAAACAAGGATATATAAATATTTATCTATTCAGTGTTTTGTTGAAATAGAATAGTTGTCGTCATGGACGAAGTGTTTAAAATGATGGACTGACTAACAAAAGCACACATACATAGAATTGTTTTCTCGATTCGTAAGAAAAGAAGTGATAGAAGAAAAAAGAAAATATAATCCAGGACATTATATGATCATTGTTTTTGTATCCAACAGGATAGTTAGTCTATTAAGTAGTAGATATGAATGATTCATCGTATGATTTCCATAACGAAACTCACCGATGGAAGTCAGTTGCTAGCAGAGAACATTGCAGGACCTGCATTATTCTGCCTGCAGGACGCAAAACCTGCCCTGCAGATAAACTGTTTTATCCTGCATTAGTTATGTCCATATAGGATACAGGACCTGCAGGATAATAGTTGAGTCCTACTGGACAGAATTGAAAAGATATCGCACAGAAATAAATGGGCTATGCATAAAATTTCAGATCCACCCAAACTTAGATACAACGTTGATTGGTGAGTTGTTTGATGTGAAGTATAATCCTCACGTGAAATGTAAGATGACAATAACTACTAGAATAATCTGCTGCTTTCCTCTTTCTTACAACAGACGAACTACTATATATATAAGAAACAAGTGGAAAAATCCATAAGACGGAAAATTCCATAGGTGATGATACACAAGAACCCATGTAAAAAACGACTCAAAATAGATTAAAATCGATTATTTTCGGATTAATAATCTGTTATAATGGCACTATTTTAATCTGATTTTTAGGCTTTTTTTTTTTTTTTTACATGGGAAGGGAAATCATCTGTGAAATATCAAGAGAAAAGAAAACGACATATAGAACGAAGGAAAGCAGAAAGAAAGTAAAAGAAGAGGAGAACGAAAGGAAAAATCCATCACACATATCGAATAGTAACATGAATAGCAATAGAATAACAGAAGAGAGGAAAAGCACAAAAGAGAGAGAGGAGATAACATACTACTACCTAACATATGGTAAAATATGATATATGACATTATACTTCATATTTAGACAAGCGTTTTATCTTTTTAAAGAATGCAATGAAAAATTTGTCCCTCAGACCAGACGCAGGAGGGTTCTTTGCCCTGCAAGACGTTTCCTAACTGGGTGAACTTTTTGCTGCCCTGCCATACATCCTGCAGGATGCAGGGTAGAACGAAAAAAAAAACGTCCTGTGACGTTCTCTGATCAGAAACTCTATTATATAATATAATGAAACAGAATTATGATCAGTTCAATTAAGTAAGAAGTATTACTGTTGATTATATTCTCATTCGTTCATCGTCGTCGTTGTCTAATTAGAACAGATTTTGATAATAGATCTAATGTTTTATTTTTTTTCTTTCAAATACAAGCATCACTCACCATGTGCACGTAACTCAAAGAAGAAGAAAAATAATTGCATCACAATCTTCAAAGTATAAAAATGAATCAATGTTATTCATGTTTATGCGAATTAAATGGATCATATAAAAAAATCACGCGTTTCTGAAAGTACACAGAAATTAATCAAGTAAAATTAAATTTTTTTTTAACATTGCTGAGGACAAAGGAAATTCAGAAATAATTCTTACAGTGTTTTTCTCTTTTTCGAAATATTATCAGCATTTCAAAGATTCAATATATTTCACTAATGATAGTATTATTGTTAAAAAATTTGAAAAAGAAATCATATCGCTCAATATAAAAGAGTTAAGAACTACGTAGAATATAAAACAAAACCAGAAGCTCCACTAGAAAAGTCGAACGTAGAAATAATTCACTTGGTTCTCAAAGTTGATGAACTATCGACTTTGACACGATTTTCTTATAGTTTTTATTTTTGCGATCACTATTTTCACTGCAAAAATGACTACTGTAATAGTAAACAATGGAAACATGATCTATGTTGAATACAACTAAACTTATTTCAAACATGAGGGCAACCTCTGACAGACATAGTCATAAAATGAAAGTGTTGTAGACCACTGTCAAAATTGTGTATCCCTATATATTGGAACTATCAAGCAAAGTTCATTCAGACTAATTTCACAACATATCATGATATCTGTAATGGAAATGTTACTGTGATGAAGTTAAAAACTATTGTTTTAAAGCAGCTGTTAATCTATGAAATGACACTATACTAGTGTATTATATCCTCTTCATTCCGAAAAAACATGAGTCATTGATCTTTTGGTATTATCGAATGAAGTTTTGTTTCTGAATGTATCAAGTTTTTGTCGCATATTGATAGTTGAGCGAGTAGTTTCTATGAATATTGAAACTATTTGGCGAACAGCAACATCATATTAACAGTTATGCGTTCAACTCATATTACGATCAAATAATTGAAGTTCAAGATATATCATTGACAGTCAGACGCAAAATGTTGATCCATGAAAAACATTTTATTACGAACAAATGCTCACTGAATCTTGATTGATATAAAATTTCATAAAAAAGAGTTTCTATACCAAATAAATGTTTTTGGAACAATGGTGTACTCCTCAGTGACTTCGATCTTGCTGATAGGATAATTTTATATCTATTCTGTACAAATGGTACAAACAATAATGCAAGATTAACCACTGTGACGTTTCTGGCGAACATTCAATTACATGTAATAACTGTCAGAATTGACTAGTATAAAAAAAAAGACAAAACGATCACAACTATCATTTGTCCCATATAAAATAACAATTCATGAACTGATTTTCCATGATTTCTAATTATCAACTTATGAATGTTGATAATCGAATTATGTGGTATGATGCTCGAGCATAAGGTAAAATAAACGGCTAGTAAATAAATATGTCAACAATCATGATTTCTCGCATTGTTGAATATCAATGCTTTCTCTGTAAACGAGAGAATAAAAAGTAAATAGCGAAATTAGTATTCAAATACGATCAGTTTTAGAGGAGCAACGTTTGTAAGGAAGAAAAAAAAAGATTCGAATCAATCTTGTATTCACTACTGCATAGTAAGTTTCACAAAAAAAACAATATTAGAATGAAGCTCTTTTTTGTATTGTGGTGCATTCGTATTCGAAATTACTTAGATCTTTTAAAGTGAAAAATACGAAAGCGACGATGGCGAGATAGTTTTATAATCTCACTTGTTTTGTACTTCTGTCTTTTTCAGACAAATAGGTCTTTACTACTGTTAAGCAAGATAAACATGCAATTAGTTAGCAGACTGTAAAGAAAACGAAATAATCAAAACTTTATATTATCATTGTTCTGTTTATAGTAACCGAATAGAACAGGATAAATATCCCTCCATGTGTAGTTGTTGATGCATAACAGTAGAATAGAAAGACAATCGTTTGAAATCCATTTAAAAGGAAAACGAACTGAAATGAGATTGTTCGAAGCGTCAGAAAGCAAGATTGTGCCATCTTTTTCTCAATGTATCAAATGGTCAAGTTTCAAGTTAACTTATTTTAGTTTAGATGTGCCAATGATTCTTTTTGTCCCCCATAAAGAGCCGATAGTTTATTGTCATTCATGGAATACTTCAAGCACAAATGAAACAGCTAGTGAAATGCTCTCAAAATGATAATTGTGTATGAACTAATCCATTACAAGCAATATAAATCTAATTCCAGTCATAATCAATAACGACAAGCTGGAGTCATTCCTACAATTGTTGAAAATCTCGGACTGTTAATGCTAGTTGATTGTATCACTGATTGATGTTTGCTCTTCCTCCATGCTAAAACTAGGAACATGAAAGCTTTTTCAATTCACAAGTCACGTAAATTCAGGCGATTCAAACAATATTTCTAAAACTAAGTCTGACTTGACTTGCTAAACTCTGTCTTACACTATTTTATCATGTTGATATCAATTGTTGCATGTTCTGAAGTACAATCCGACGCAGTATTAAATTAAGCAAAACTAATGCAGACTATTTAGTCGACTAACAGAAACAAAAATCAGTAAATAGAAAGAGTTCTCACACACAGTAATATACACATAAACAAACTACTCATATGAGTTCATAGAGCACTTTGTGCAATTCGTGAATAATTATCATTCACAGTTTACTGAGATCTAAGTGATTAGTAGTTTGTCTTTTCGGCAATGTTTGTAATTGTAGTTGTGTTTATTGGGTATTGAGGCGTAATAACATTCGATCGAAAATTATTTGGACCCTCTATTTTGATTGTGAATGTGCCCGTCACATAATCGGATACACTTGTAATGACTAAAATGTAGGTCTGACGAGATTTAACATACCAACGGAAGATATCGCCGCTGCTTTGTGCAAACAGATTTTGCATTGGGCTAGTTGGAATGAATCTGTCAACGTAGCAATCAATATACGCGGAGAAAGGGCTGTCTATCTCAAAATTATAATATCCACTTGTAGCAGCAATCCAGTGTAGAGTTCGATAATAATGTGACGATGTTGAACATCTGGAGCAACGATAAGTCCAGCTACTTTTAGTTAGTGCAGACGAATATGACCAGTTAGTTGGTCCTAGAAACACTATGTAACAAAAATAGTAGAATAGTTAGAATTCAAGGCGTTTGTTACCAGTGGAAAATTTCGAATGTTTGTCACTTTCAAAAGTATATCTGATATGAGTTTTATGTATTCATTTAAAAGCTAGTTTATTTTCAAATGAACAGAAGGAATGAGATAGAAGTTTATCGCTTTTCTCTTACTTGGGAATACCCTTAGTTGTTCGCGTACAATAAACTGAATATTTTGCTTACTACGACTGAAATCAGCTTTTGAGAATATAATAATAGAATATTGTCAATACTTAATATATAAGCCAGTATGTAATTAGGAGTAAAGGTATGCAGAGCATACAGTAATTGAAGATTCTCAATGTTACCAAAGTTTACTAATAATTCACTTTTACGTTGATGTTTCATTTCTACTGAGAACCAATGAACATTCTTCTGTTAGAAATGATAAATAGTATTCTGAAAGTCACTTTGATTTGCAATATATAG